GCAGCTGCTTCATGAAGGACCAGACCAGGCACACCTCATTAGCAGGAACAAAAGGATCAGCTGGGAGAGTGGAGTACAGGGTGGTGATGGTGACAATGGCTGGGCTAGGGTGGCTTTGGGTCACACCGCTCAGCTGGGCTCAGCTTTATGTTGTAAAGGGTTTCATACTGCAAAGGATTTCATGCTGTGCTGCAGCTTAGGGGCTACTTGCTCTGCATCAAGAAGGCCAAGATACAGCCTGGAAAGCAGCACCAGAGCTATGTGCTTCTACAGCTACTTGCTATCTTGCACGGCAGGGCAATAAATAGATAGGGGAATTGAAAAGGAGTGGCCCCTTAATTACCAAGGCTTGGGATTGGGAGGGACCAAGCCTGAAACAACTTGACTTGGATGGGTACTTGCTTAACAACCTGCAATTCTCAGTGAACAATGGCAACCGGGAGATGGAATTGCTGTTGTTCCATGTGACATGCTTTACATCACTTAGCAATGGAAATTCTGAGTTCTGAATAGAGATGTGCAGAAAATATATTTTTATGATATAGTAATATAACATTTTATAATATAAATGAAAGCAAGTTTCAGAAGTTTCTGTAGAACCTTTCTAAATCAGTTAGAACTCAAAGAAATAATTCATCCTGATTCCCACCTTCACCTCTGTCACCAATATCTCAACAGATCATATTTCATCAACCTGTCCACCCACAATATTTCCAACATTTTCTCTTTTTTTTTTAGCTGACATCCTTTGGCTACCAATGCTTAATTCCCACTGCCTAGTATACCAGCGTACTTACCCCATAATCTTGCCAGAACCTTCTCTTCTCTCTCCTGCATCTCTCAGCTGCTACCAATATCCTTGACTTTTCCCACTCTTCCATAAAACACCTACTCAGAACACCTACATTTCAGTCCACCTGGACAAGAAAACCCCATTTTGTTCCATACTAGAACCAAATATATTTTGATTTAACCCAGTGGTTGCTAACCAGTGGGCCGGGGACCACTGGTGGTCTGCAAGAAAATTTTGGTGGTCCACAGAGAAATGTCAACCCCAAAGCAATTAAACCAGGTTGTATGGGAACACAAGGCTGTGCCGTCCACATGGCCCACAGGAACACAAGGCTTGCCTCACTTGCACTGCGAACAACACGAAGTAGTGAGGGGAAGGGGGAAAGGGGGAAAGGATAGAACTTGCCTCACTCGCCCCCATATGTCTGACCACCGGGCTGCTTCTTTCCACTTCTGCTTTTGGCTGTATGCAAGGAAAGCAGCAAAAGTCTTTTTCTCTCCCCCAAACTCTGCCAGAAATGAGTCTTTGGGATCCTGTAAGGCATCCTGATCCAAGAGCAGGATGTTGGTGTGACAAATCTCACAAAGACTCATTTTTAGTGGAGTTTGGGGGAAGAGGAAAAAAAAAACTTCTGCTGCTTATATTGCTTTCCTTGCATGAAGCGAAAAGTCTCTCCCCCCCACCCCCTTGGAACAGAGCTGGAGACGGTATCCTGCAATCCCAAATAAAGAATGATCGATCAGTAGGAAAACCAGGTGGGGAATTTTCCTGCAGACTTTTGGGGGGATTTTCCCAAGGTCACTGCTGCTTTCTGCAGAGACCCTGGGAAAACGTCAGCAAGCTACCAACAGTCAAATTCAGATTAGCGGTCTGCAGGACTTAAAGCTATGAGTTTGGTGGTCCATGAGGTCCAAAAGGTTGGCAACACCTGATTTAACCACAGATTGCAATGAGTAATCTGAATCATGAAACTGTTCAGGGTGTTTTGCTTATTATTAGTCATGAAAGAAGGTAGATTAAATATAAAATAGTGATCAGTTCAAGAGAAATTAACTGGGGTGACTTAGTCACATAGAAAGATTTAGAACTGAATTACAAAAAAATTATATGAAAAGAGATAGGGTTGAAAGGAACTGGAAAACTAAGAAAACTGCAGTTATATGGAATTGATGAAGTCTTCAAAACACAGAATTGATCCATGGTTGTGATATCAAAGATAGGTATGAGAAAGTTACAGTGAATATTACCGATGTACACTACATTTGATTATTATTTTCTTTGCTTACCTGATCCCCTTATTTCTTTGCTATGCTATTTTTTTATTATGCTACATTTTGCACAGCACTGCTTGACCCATAAGAAAACACTCCAGGTAAATATGCAGGTATGATTTTTATCCTTTTTTCTTAAAATATTGTGAGTGGGTTGACATCTTCATGTCGATGACAACTCAAAGATCATTTTTCAGGTCACTGCAGATCAGATTTCATTTACACAGAGATGAAGTTCAGATTTTTTCTGTCAATGTATATCATTTGTATCTTTTTACAATAAACTTAATAGCTCTACTGAAACTGGATCTCTTCACAATTCCTTTTTTATTTTATGACTTGAACAGTTTGGTATCGTCAGTAAATGATCCAACAGTATTGTTAATAGAAAATCACTGGGAAATATTCTGTGCAATAGAATCCATTTAAGATTTTTTTTTCACAAATTTCACAATTTCGCACTTCAAACCATTTTCATTATGTGCACTATGCTTTTAAGGCTACTTTTTAGGATACTCTTGAATGGTAGCTGACATTAACACAATTCTCTCTAATTTACACTTCAGTTATTTTTATGCAAGAATTCACACCAAGCCGTTTTGGAAAGACACAATTAAAATGGTGAAAACGTGGTTATTTTTCAGCTTAAAATATAAATGTGTTGTCTTCCCTAAATAGCATCTTTTCAACAATTTTATGTGATAGGACTGACATTTCTAATTTTGCTTTTAAAAAACTATTATCTACACCCCTTAAGAAGTTACAGAATTATTGTAAAACTTTTTTTCAGAGTTTGAAGCTTCCTCACAAACTATTAAACGTTGGAAGAAGGAAGTAACCAAAGCAGCTGTCCTAATTAAATTTCTAAGCATGTTTAACGACCTAGGAAATGAGAGCACGGTGGACATTGTCAAATTTTGAAAAGTTCGTTTGAAATTGTACATATCAGATTATTAATCTTGCATTCCTGCTATTGGATCAAAAACCATCCAGATCGCAACTATGGTATTTTCAGGAAATAAGAGGGCGCCGAGCCGGAGGCCTCCAGAGCTAAAGTCAATGGTAGAGGCGACCAAGTCGCCTGTCCGGTCAGAAAACGTCTGCATGGGTGAGTCTATGTACGTTGCTCAAAAGCAAGGCCCGCTGCAGGAAGCCTTGCTCAACCTGAACCGACCCTTCCTCCTCTTCTCCCTTTGTCCGGCCAGCTCCTTATCCTTTTGCCTCCGGACATAACAATCCACCAGGAGTTCCGTTACTCACTCACCGCGGCGGTGGCCTTCTTGGCGGCCGGGACAATGGCTGGGAGCGGAGCAGACATGGTGTTGCCGCACATACACTTGGGCTCTCCTCTCGCGTCGGCCAGTCAGACACTGACGGGGCGGGCGGGCTGGAGGGAGGTGGGGAAACGGGAGGGACAGGAACCCGATTGGAACCAGAAAGACGGAGCAGGCCCGCCTCCCTTCCCTGGGAAGGGTTGGGAGGGGGGGTGCGCGGGCTCCCGCTCCCTCCTGCTCAGTTGAGCGAGCGGAGGCGGCCGTTGAAACGGGGACGTGAAAGAAAAGGAACGCTCGAGCGCTGGCCCCGCTCTCCTTATGCCCGCGCATGCGCTCTGTTGCTATTCAGCGTAGGCGACGGCTCTTGCTGGTGATTTCAGACTTTCAAACCGCTGCCGACCCCGTAAAAGGCCGGCCAATGGCAAGGGATTCTGGGAGCTCCCAGTTCGGGTCACGTGGCTTCGTTGGACCACCTAATAGGGGAAGCCGCGAAGTGTTTTAGCAAAAAAGTATTTTAATTTTAGAGGAAAAATTAACCGGATTTCTTTTATTTTTCTTTTGATACCGTGCTTTATTTTAGCTGATTCAAAGATTGGCAACATGCGATCTTTCAAATACTGCCATCATTCCTCACCATAGAATTACTATTCCTTTTGACAGTTGGACTTCATCAAAAAGGGCTGTCATGTTTTCCATCTTTTAAGAGCATGGCTTTTAAAATAAATAAAATAAATAAATGAAACAAGGAAACAATCAAAAATTCTCTTCTTTCTGCTTGCCTCTCCAAGAAGATAATCCTTCCTCCTATTTTTTTCCACCATCCTTTGAGGTGAATTGGGCTGAAAATTAGAAATTGCTTCCTTCTTGAGGTGTTGCTCTGCCCATTAAATATCTTTCGCGGAGGAAAAAAAAAACCTTGGAGCGATCAACTCTGTAAGGAAATGCGGCAGCTGTTCAAAAGAAAAATAAGAATGCCAATGTCTGTGGCATTAGGACACAAACAGCCTGTTCCGTCGAGCAGAACAAGATCAGTATTTCAGCCCCAAGAGATTTTGCGAGTGCTGTAAAAACGCTGCGCATTCATTTTCAATATTTGTATTTGGAAATTTAGGTTTGTTTTAAACCCACCTATCGCTTTATGGAAAGATGGGGTAGAAGGTGTAGTTAGCGTGCACCAATTCTGAATGCAATCATCATTCTAATACTTAAGCTGGTTAAACCAAGAGCTTTATGTGACTATTGAAAAACAAAGTTTTTGAGAACTCAGTATCGTATTTTAATTGAAAACCAAGACAGCTCTCCAGATAGCGCAATAAAAAAAATGCATATTATCAAAAACAAGCCACGGAATCAATATGTATTCAGATGCACGAGTGTTTTAAGAGCATGAATAACTTACACGTTTTAAGAGCATGCATTTCCTTTGCGTCTTCGCTAGCCCTGTCAGTATATTATAGTCAGTACTTTTATCCCACAGAAGAAGAAAAATAAGAAAATTTCTGTTTCCTACGTTACAAAATTACCCTGACAACTGTTGCTTCTGCTGTAGCTTTCACGCGCATGGACTTTGGCAACGTCCGCAACCGAGGTGAAAAGCAGACCCTTAAGCCCACCGGGAAGAGAACTCCATATTTTCGTTCCTCTCCGTCTCCCTGCGCCTGCGCAAGAGGCCGCGAGTGAGCCTGCCCCTTTCCTGCGGGGCGACCGTTCTCGTGGCTGCTGGTGCCCTTGAGATTAATTGCGCTAAGGCGATGGCGGCTTCGCGGGCACCAGGCGGGGGAAACAGGATGAAAGCCTTAGAGCTGTTGCGGAGCTTGCCTAGGGTCAGCCTCGGCAACCTACGGCCTAACCCTGGGGCCCGGCGAAAGGTGAGTTGAACGTTTGCCAGGCTTCTCGTTCTCCGCTGGGCTGCTGCTGCAATGTAGGCCGCTTTTGCTGTGTTTTCGTGGAAGCTGAGGAAAGCTAAGGGTGATAAGGATGATGATGATGATGATGATGTGTTGTACTTGATCGCTTTTAACTCTTGACGAAAGTATCTTTTCAGAGAGCATTTCCACCAACACAAATTTGTGTGCCCAATCACACTTGGCCAATAAAGAATTCAATTCTATTTTATTCTATTCTAAGGAAAGCTAGGCGTCCTTTTCCACGTGAAGCCTTTCCGGGGGATTCCCTTCCCCCCTCCTGTCCGTTTTGCTTTTTCTATAGTTTTTGCTAGTAGTTTTTACATTTGTCTCCCATTCACTTATCCTATATTAGTGTCCTACGATTTTCTTTAATTTGAATGTTTTCTCTAATCCTTTAAAAAATATATGGCGATTTGTTCAATTGCCGAATAGAATAAGAATAGAATTTGGAAGGGATCTTGGAGGTCTTCTAATCCAACCCCCTGCTCAGGCAGGAAATCCTGCACCATTTCAGACAAATGGCTGTCCAATCTTGTCTTAAAAACTTTTAATGTTGGAGCAGTCATAACTTCTGAAGGCAAGTTGTTCCACTGATTAATTGGAAATTTCTCCTTAGTGCTTAGGTTGCTTCTCTCCTTGATTAATTTCCATCCATTGCTTTGGAGAAAATAGTGCAGAATATAAAGTTGTTTCAACTTTAGAGGGGGGAATGAGATATTTTAAATGGTTTTTGTGCATTCATACTGGAATAGAGGTGTAAGGAACGGGATAGCCTATGAGGTGAAAGGGGTAAAAGAGGTCCGAATTGAATTACATTTGAATGTGAAACTCACGTTACCATATTGCTCTTTTTAAGGAACAAAAACAAGGTCGTGGAAGATACAATCCTCCAAAGAGAACTGGCGGGCAAGCAAAATCTGGGTCACTCCCTCGATTAGGCTTTGAAGGTGGCCAAACACCATTTTATCTGGTTATTCCAAAATACGGCTACAATGAAGGACATCAGTAAGTTTATTCTATTATTATATGTACAAAAATGTGAAATAACATCTGTTGGTTCTTCATCTGGTGTTTGCCTTTGTGTATATTGAATTGTCCTATAGGGATAGTACTTGCATGAATCCAAGATGACCTTATGTTGACAGGTGGAAGTGTCAATATACGTATTTTCTAAATGGTATCCAATAATGATAATTTATTATCATCATAGACATAAAAGCTGGCTAGGTGACTTTGGGCCAGTCATTGTCTCTCAACTCAACCCACTAACAGTCGTTATGGGAAAATAAGGGGTAGAAGTATTATGCATGTTTGTTTGCATTGTATGTATTAAACTATTAATCTATATAACAGGTACTATAAAGATTTTATCATGACTTTTATTCTTTATTTTTGTAAGAATATGAAATTAGTCTATTTTATTTTTTCCCATTAAAATTGGAATCCCTCCTCAGATCTCATTACAAATGATTTCTGAAACAACTGATAGTTGATTTTCACAATCAAAAACAAAAATGAACCTTCTGAGTATTTTGATGTACATTCATCTGAATTGTAGTGATTAGGTTAACATCTGAAATAGTGTCCCTATAACCACAAGTGATAGAATTGTTCTTTAAAGTCTGTAATTCTCATAGCTAATACAAGAGTTGAAGGAGTGTGTGTGTGTGCACAGCAATTTAAGGATGATGATCATTGTTCATATATGTGTGTCTTACCTATCAGTACTCACTAGTATTATCAGATCTTTAATCCAATGAATAATCAGGGCCATACATTTCATTTCAACATTATAAGAAGGATATCTACAATTTTTCCCTTTGTCTAGCTGTAAATTTCCATGTAAGAAGTACACTGCTCAAAAAAATAAAGGGAACACAAAAATAAGACATCCTACATCTGCATGAATGAAATATTCTTATTAAATACTTTGTTCATGACATAGTTGAATGTGCTGACAACAAAATCACACAAAAATTATCAATGGAAATCAAATTTAGCAACCCACGGAAGTCTGGATTTGGAGTTACACTCAAAATTAAAGTCGAAAAAAACACTACAGGCTGATCCAACTTTGATGTAATGTCCTTAAAACAAGTCAAAATGAGGCTCAGTAGTGTATGTGGCCTCCACGTGCCTGTATGAACTCCCTCCAATGCCTGGACATGCTCCTGATGAGGTGGTGGATGGTCTCCTGAGGGATCTCCCACACCTGGACTAAAGCTTCCCCGAACTCCTGGACCGTCTGGTGCAACGTGGCATTGGTGGATGGAGCGAGACATGATGTCCCAGATGTGCTCAATTGGATTCAGGTCTGGGGAACGGGCGGGCCTGTCCATAGCATCAATGCCTTCGTCTTGCAGGAACTGCTGACACACTCCAGCCACATGAGGTCTAGCATTGTCTTGCATTAGGAGGAACCCAGGGCTAACCGCACCAGCATATGGTGTCACGAGGGGTCTGAGGATCTCATTTCGGTACCTAATGGCAGTCAGGCTCCCTCTGGCGAGCACATGGAGGGCTGTGCGGCCTCCTAAAGAAATGCCACCCACACCATTCCTGACCCACTGCCAAACCGGTCATGCTGGAGGATGTTGCAGGCAGCAGAACGTTCTCCACAGCATCTCCAGACCCTGTCACGTCTGTCACATGTGCTCAGTGTGAACCTGCTTTTATCTGTGAAGAGCACAGGGTGCCAGTGGTGAATTTGCCAATCGTGTTCTCTGGCAAATGCCAAACATCCTGCATGGTGTTGGGCTGTAAGCACAACCCCCACCTGTGGATGTCGGGCCCTCATACCACCCTCATGGAGTCTGTTCCTGATCGTTTGAGCAGCCACATGCACATTTGTGGCTCACTAGAGGTCATTTTGCAGGGCTCTGGCAGTGCTCCTCCTGTCCCTCCTTGCACAAAGGCGGAGGTAGCAGTCCTGATGCTGGGTTGTTGCCCTCCTACGGCCTCTTCCACGTCTCCTGATGTACTGCCCTGTCTCCTGGTAGCGTCTCCATGCTCTGGACACTACGCTGACAGACACAGCAAACCTTCTTGCCACAGCTCGCATTAATGTGCCATCCTGGATGAGCTGCACTACCTGAGCCACTTGCGTGGGTTGTAGACTCCGTCTCATGCTACCACTAGAGTGAAAACACCGCCAGCATTCAAAAGTGACCAAACCATCAGCCAGAAAGCACAGGAACTGAGAAGTGGTCTGTGGTCACCACCTGCCGAACCACTCCTTTATTGGGGATGTCTTGCTAACTGCCTATGCTTTCCACCTGTTGTCTATTCCATTTGCACAACAGCATGTGAAATTGATTGTCAATCAGTGTTGCTACCTAAGTGGACAGTTTGATTTCACAGAAGTGTGATTGACTTGGAGTTATATTGTATTGTTTAAGTGTTCCCTTTATTTTTTTGAGCAGTGTATATTGTTCAAAAAATACAGACATCTGAATATATTGAGTATTTAGTATATTCAATATTGTATTCAGTATTCAGAGTATTCAACTTGAAATTAAGTAGCTAGTTTTACCAGAACGTGATTTCAGTTCATCAGAAAACACTTGTTTTAATTGCATTAGTCAAATGTTATAACTAATATTATACTTCCTTTCTTTTATCTTTGTATTTGCAATTTATAGCTAGACTGTTAAAGATAATTGTTTAAAAGAAGAATTTATTAGAGGAATATGTACCTTTTTATTTCTGAATTGTTAAGTAGCATGGGTTCTGTCAGTGTACAGTATTAAGTTGGTCTTCGTTTTGCAAAACTCATTTGCCATACAAAGATATAAAGGCTTGAGTGAATCTGTAGGGTTGCCGAAGAATATTCCATAGATAAAACAATTTCATCTTTCATTGAGGATGGTTGTCCAAAAACAATGGGTTGATGTATTATACTATCAGTATTCTTATATTACTTTGAATTGGATTTACTTTTTGAATGTTTATTTTCTTTCCATTTCACAGTCTCAGGCGTCAGTATCCACCTATCAGTCTCAAGAAGCTGCAATACCTTATTGACTTAGGCAGAATTGATCCCATGCAACCAATAGACCTTACCCAACTGACAAATGCCAGAGGTGTAGTTTTACAGCCATTCAAAAGACATTATGGTGTCCATCTTGTGGAAGAGGCAAGTCTATAACTTGTTTTTTTAAGCTTAGTTTTGAAAGCATTCTCTCTCTCTCTCTTTCTCTTTCCCTCCCTCCCTCTCTCTGAAATATTGAAGTGTGGTACAAAAATGTGGCATTACTTCGTAATGTAGTTATTGAACAGTTTCAATAATATTCTGAAACTATTGTATTTCTGTTTTGTGTTAGTAATGAGGTTTTTTGTCTAGGAGCTTTATGCATCTGAATATTTTCAAAATAATTATTTAATAGCATTTTAGTAACATATACCCCCACATATAATGGCATATAATGAATCAGAAATATAACTTTTTTTTAAAAAAATGACTGTATTCTTAAACTACTGGGACTTTAATTTCAGGCTACTCCACTAATCTTGAAATAGCAGCTGATAACTTGCATTTTAGAATCAGCAGATAAATGAATGCTGTTTTAAAGTGATGTTAACTTCAGCTTATGTAAACTTACAGGGTGCTGATACTTTTGCAGCAAAAATAAACATTGAAGTACAGTGGATATCTGAACTAGCCATAGCTGCTGTTGAAAAAAATGGTGGTGTAATTACTACAGCTTTCTACGATCCAAGGAGTTTGGGTAAGAATTTTCAATATATCTTGATGTCTTTCACCAGATTTAATCTGAATGTTACTCTTTCTAGTCTTTGCCCTATAGGTATTATTACAGCAGAAAAAGATGGTCAGGTTTATTTTAATAGTACAATATAAAAAATGTAAGGAAATGCATTTTGTGTTAATACAATTATTCCAGAAGTTAGATTGTTAATATTAAAGCAATATTTTATCTCTTTATTCCATGTTTTATACACAGAGATTCTTTGCAAGCCAGTACCATTTTTTCAGAGAGGCCAACCTATTCCAAAGCGAATGCTTCCTCCTGAAGATCTTGTCCGTTACTATACAGATCCTGCAAACAGGGGCTACTTGGCTGATCCTTCAAAGGTTGCTGAAGCAAGGATGGAACTTTCCAAAAAATATGGTTATGTCTTACCAGATATTACCAAAGATGAACTCTTCCAAATGCTGAGTACTCAGAAGGACCCTAGGCAGATTTTCTTTGGACTTGCTCCAGGTTGGATAGTAAATATGTCAGAAAAGAAGATTTTGAAACCAACAGATGAGAGGTTGCTAAAATATTACAGCTCATGAATACCAAAATTGGATATACCATTTAATGTTTATATGCAATGTTAATAATATTAGCTTTTCTAAAAATGAATCCATTGTAATAATACTATAATAAAATATGAACATTTTTCTGCATTAGTTTATTTTCCTTGTCAGATGCAATTTTTAATATGATTAATCCTTATTTTGTCTCATGCTTTAAATCACTTATTGCAGATTTCTGGGTCTTTTTCCTACATTGCGTTCTTCTAGGAGTTCAGTAAATAAGCCTTTCATACCCTTTTAGCTTGGAAATCCAGATGGGTAGCAAAGTTTATGTAATGGTTATGCTGATTTCTTGTTATTAGTTTATATATTTTTATACCTCAGCTACTGAATGTATATGTTCTTTTTTATAGTTATGTCTTTTGATGATTTTTGTTACTGTTGTTAGCCTTCCAGAGTCAATTTGAAATAGGTGGATGTATAAATTGAATAATTGACTGAATAAATATAGGATCAGATAATGGCATCTTAAATGTTTGAATAATAATTTAAAGTATTGCAATTATTTTAAGATATATGTAGTATAATTTTAAAAAAATAAGCCAGTGTTTAAATTGTATAAAGATGCTCCCTTTACAAGTGTGGCTTTCAACATTTTGTTTTAAAGCAACAAAGTTTATTCTCTTCAGAAAGAAAACATGTTTGTGCTGTTCCATTTCCCTGTATTGGTTCACTTTTATATTTTGATCTCTATATCAGATTTAGTAACTCCTTTATGGACAGCAAATCTATTTATGCCAAGGAGTTGAAAGAAAAATGTTGGTATAAACAGTATATGTATTTATCAATGTATATTTACTAGTATACTCAGAATAAGTGTATATCATTTTCAGAATTGTTTCTCAAAGTTGGAAAAGGAATTCTAAGAGCTTTCTTCTAAGTAGAAGTTCCATTAGCGCTATAGGTATATTTACTTACAGAACTATCCGTTTAAAAAAAAGTTATTTGGTCACAGATTATCTACTTGTCATATTTGCTGAGGCGAGGGAGTGTGTGTGCATGCATGTATGTAATTCTTTTAATACCTTCGCAGGTGACTATACAAATATATGACTATTAGAGATTAAAGTATCAGGTACTGGAATTCAGCTGAGTTCTGCATCCCTACTTTTTGTTTATTTCATATGTTTAGATGAATAATGTCGAATGGCAATATTGGCTAGTGAAGAGTCTGATGTATACATTTTGTCACTTCCATGCTATATTGGACAAGTTTCCTTAAAGTGGTTACTTTAGTTAAAAATAAAAGCCAGTAACTAGAGCATAGTTAATATAATATTTCTTTTTATATTGTCCTGTCCTGTATTTGGATATTAGATGAGCAGGTTATACCTGTTTTTGTAGATGTTAATTTGAGAGAGAACAAAGACAGGAAAATATGAGTAGATTTCCCTCATTGGATAGCACAACACTTCTTTTTCATGAGTTAATTGCATTCCAGAATTTGAAACATTGGACCGGGAAGCTAATTGACTGGCTGTAAGATCGGAAGTTACTCCTCCAATGAAGTTTAGGCAAAAGTCTCTGTGTAAAATACGTTTACATATTATGTATTATAAAGAGTCAAAGACTTATTTCCACTTCAGTTGTTCTATGTTTGATGAGCAAATTGCTGTATGTTTAAGGATACTGTTTACCACATTCTTAATATAAAACATATTGTGGTGATGTATTCTAAATAAACTTCAGGTGAAAGGGAAACTGATAAAATTATAATGGGGAAAGAATGAAAACAGGAAACAGATGGCTAGTGACATGCACTGATTGGATAGTACATATTTGCAAGCACCCTTGTAGTCATAAAGGCAGCTGTATCCTGATACCAATTTTGTATTGCTATCAATATGTTAAAGAACCAAAACTGCCATGTTCCACAAAATCTGGCCATTTTATTTTAGAAAGATAATTATGATCAACTAAAAACTAGAAAGGAGCAAAGGTGTCAATGCTATATTTAAGAAAAGAAAAACCACTAATTGTTTTTAAAATCGTATCTTCAAATACTTTCTAGAATTTTATTATAGCATTAGTTTATATATTAGTTTAAAATCACATTGCTGTGAAGAATTTCCTACTTACTAGCCTATCAAAAGCTTATCTGTTAACAGATATCTATTACTGCCCCTTCCGCCATGTAATTTTTCATATGTTGACTTAATACGAGCCAACCAACTCCTCAAATCAAAGAACTTGTCTAAAAGTCAAATCTGTCTTTCACAGATTCAAGATGAATTATTGCTTCAGCTTTACTGTTTTGTTGTATATGTAGAAATTTAAAAGTAACATAACAGGACAAGCACTTGCTAAACTTGCTTCAGGATAAAGGACTTAGTTTTAACCAATATATATTGAAGAAATTGTTACAATGTTGTGAAACATTGTTTCCTGAGGATGAGAATTGGCCCTGGGCCAAAAAACTAACTGAAAAGTGAAGATTGCTGAAATATAGAAATTTTTGTTTCCATTGAGGTGAGTTTTGTACATTGTTATTATATATGCACACCTAAATGGATCATTAAGCATAGTCAAAATGTTTAGGAGGGTTGGTAAGTCTAAGGTGCTGCTTATCAGCTGTCTTGCACTTATTCCAAAATTGAAAGGTGAATGTAAAAAGGTAGTTTTTGAAGTTTGTCCTTCAGAATAAAATAATGAAAATATAATTGCTATGATAATATAAACAGAATTTTATTTTTGCTTCATCAGCTCTCAGCTTTGCAGTTCTGCTAATGGCTATTGGCATTTATTTTGGAGGTATTTTGTAATATCAGTTTATAATCCCTGAATGTAAGCAAGTAAGTATTAAAAATGGCCAATACCCAGAACAAAAAAATGGGATTGGTTCAGTTTTCAGTGAATGGTAGAGAATGGAAGGATTTATATTCCTTGCAGTCATCTGGTTGTTAGTACACTCTCTGAAAGTAGTTGAGACCACTTGGAGGTTTATGCAACTGAACAGTGCAAATGATATGAGAAGTGAAACGTCTTCAAGCAAAAACAGTCTAGTTGCCTTTTGAAAAAGCAACTTTGACACAACCATGATCTGGATGACTGAATCTCCACAGACCTATTGGATGATACGTTTTATCTATCATATTCTCATCTAGTCAGACGGGAGAATCTGGGACAGTAAATGCCATCTTAGAACCATACCTTTGTTACTATGTGAATAAAGAGCACCTGGCCATAGGTTCCACCTGTGGCTGAATTTGCCTAAATAATTTAGTTTATACCTCCTCTAATTTGTTGCCATTTTAGACTATCTGTGACTATCATTCTTACCATCTGCTGAATGGCTCCCAAGCAGTTCAGAGTCCTTTTACAAGTATTCTCTTAATTTAATTACTAGCAATGTGGTACAGTACAGTAATGTTTGTCTTTCTCCTAAGTTTCTCCCATTGCACAGGTTTCATTTGTCGAAAGAATACAAATCAATCCTGTTATTCTTCAGTTTCAGTTTCCAGTACTCTGAAGTTATATGGGCTCTTCTCATCTGGTTCAAGAACAATTTCACTGGCCTTTTTGCACTTTATATCATCTGGTGAATGGGAGGAATTCAAACAGACCTGAATTCTCAGCACAGGTGGGTTTGACTCACTGGAAGTGGTATTAGTCACTGGCTGTTCCTGGGAAGGTGGCAGAGGATATGTGTGCTTCCTTTGCTATTTTTATTTGCTTCACCCTTACAAACTCAAACTTTCTGGCTGGTTGCATAAAAAGTGCCTAGAGCTGCCAGATATTCTGAAAAGATTTTTTTAAAAAAAATACTGAAGTAACTTGGTCTCCTTAACACCCCACTGATCCAAATCTGATCCAAAAGAGACAGCTTTCTGATGGACATTATGTTATTTGTATTTTACCTCTCTTTAGAAACTTAAAAGTTGATTAAAAAAAAAAAAAACGTTTGACATCCTGCCTCCTCCAGCTGAGGCAGAAAGGCAGACCAAGCAAAGTGGAAAAACATTCCTTTCCCTTGCTGAAGTTTGCTATTTTACTTTCTAGAAGAGAAATCTCTTCTCAAGTCCAAACACATGGTGGCAGCAGCACTGTGCCGATGGAAGAAAAAGCTTCTATCCCAGCCAGGTGATTCTGAGATTAAGCAAAGACAGTGTTTGGCCCAAAGTTGTCATAGCTAAATGAGGACTTTATCTTAGACCAATCCTTATCCTTTTTCATTTTCAGATATTCTGAAGCTGTATAGGATAGCTATAGATTGAAGTCATAACCCTATACATCTTTTGGAATAAGCCTCACGAGATAAGAAAAGCAACAAGAAGATCAGCATTCAGCAAACTGTTCCCTTTATATCTACATTGATAGGTATGGTAGACAAGTGTATGGCTTTTGGAAGTATTGGGTTATCATTCCTGTAAATCATCAGGATAACCATAAAGCCTACTAATAAACAGTGCATGTACAGTTAATTAATATTTGTAAATTTTTATTAGCTAAAATTTATTTGCAACCTCCAAATTAATATTCACAGTACTTTCATGGTCATTTGTGAACATGCAACGCAGCAAAAATCTTTAGTTGCCCAATACTGATGTTTCCAGTTGAGCTGCTAATTCACTGTTCACAGTGACGTTATAGAACATACTTTAAATAGCAAGAATTGTTTACATTATTTTGAACGTCCTATGTAAGTTTTTAAAACAAACCATGTGCATATTTTGGAAATTTGAAAAAGGAGGCATGCCAATGGTTTCAAACTGCTGGCAAAGAAGAATACTGTCAGTTTATCTGATGGTCAGAACCACTAGTAGTTTACCTGTAGAAGGCAGAGTGCTTTGATAAAAAAGAGGAAAAAATATCCACAATGAACACCAGGGGAAGGTATTACATTTCATTTAACTTGGAGTAATATTTTCTTACTCCTTTGTACAGTTTATACAGTTTCTAATGTATTATAAAAGGATGTTAAACCACCCAATAATTATTACATGTTAAACAAAGTGATCTTTCCTAACTTTGTTTATAAAACATGCCAAGGTCTGATTTGCATTCTGGAAAGCAGCCTTTCTGATCTTGTGGCCCTTAAATGTGTTGATACCACAAGTCTAAGGATTGTTGGACAGTTACAATGCCAGCTGGGGATTGCAAGAACTGGGGAAACTGGGAAGACTGCCTGCCTCAAATCCATGTGCCTCGGGCAGTATAGCTTCAGCATAATTGAGATGTCCCCCAGATTTACATTTGACCAAGCA